CTAAAGTAATTTTTAAAGTTTAGACTTATCTCCACAAGTCTACTATCTACCTACCAATATATATATATATATGTATGTAAATCAAGGGCGGATACCGGTCCGGCGCGCTGAGCGCGAGACCCCCCCCCCCCGTTTTGAAAAGAAAATCAAAATAATTGCAAGATCTGTATCTTTGAGGAAGGAAGAATGAAGTGAAATTTCATATTAAATTAGAAAAAAAGCAATAACAACAACATCTTGCAAACATTATAACAAATCTAAATAACCCATTTAACCCCTACCAGAGCAGTCCCGAAAATTCCTCGTTTACTTTCAGGATCATCGCCCCCCCCCCCTCCGTTTTCAATATTCTGGACCCGCCACTGTAAATTATAGTGTAATATCGAATAATACCAAAGGCAAGTAATGAGCTACTAATAACAAAAATCATAGACTAGAAGCTATAGCTAATTATATTATTTAAGTATTTTAACCTGCTAGTTTTCCGCTTCTATGATTACCTCTCGTTAGTGTAACGTGTAGTTTGACACAAAAAAGAAACTTTTCTTTAAATGTTAGATTTTTTTGTATTCTTTATTTTTAGAAGACACAAAAATAGTGTAAATGATTGGAACTACTTTATATGAGAATTAAATTAGCCACAAATGTTTCAGATTATATAACGCAATAGAAACATCATTTCTTAAACTGTATAATGAATCTTGTTTATAGAGATATCATCAGAATTAATAGTGTTGTAGATTGTAAAGTACTAAACAAAAAAGAGGTAAAAATGAAAGACAGATGAAGGGAAAAAGATTTAAAATATACAGATAAAGAGATGAGATATTACAGAAAGATAGAGAGAAAATGGAAAAAAAAGAGAAGAAATTACATAAATAGAAGGAGAGAAAAATAGAAAATTAGATAACAGAAATAGATAGCGATTTATATGTATCTAAAGGTATATAGAGAGTATCATACTGATATAAATATAAAAGCAAAAAACAGGGAGATAAAGCTAGACAGAAACAACTATAAAGTGTCATGGAGGAAAACAGATAGAAAGAATGACATATATTCTATGACAGGCACACGAGTACAGGCCTACTGGTGGACAGATAGATAGACAAACGTAGGATACAGCGTAATAACAACAACTTGTAGCTATGTTGCCGTACAAAAGAATAGACTACATATATCTATTTTATGGCTGTGTTAAATAACCAATAATCACTATAACTCAAGACAAGCTGAATGTACAGCAATTATTGTAAAGTTATCGTCAATTCCCCTAAAAAATGTTCAAGTACTTTTGCTCATATTCTTCAGTTTCTCTTTTTTTTTGTTATTTTGATTGTTTGTTCGTTTGTTTTTGAATTTCGTGCAAAGCTACA